CAAAGTTAAAAGGACCTCAACGTACCCCGGGCGAAGCCTCCCTAACCGAAACCACCTCACCCTCCACCTCTTCAACCACGATCCCACGCACCCAATCCCCAACTCCCATCCCACTCGCACGCCCAAGACTCTTGGATTCTTCCTCCGCCTCGCTCTTCAACCGGCTAAGCGGGCCCACATAAACGCTTTTCCCCGGATGGACATTCACCTCCGCCACAGCCGCGACCTTCCGCTGCAGCTCCGCGCGCATCACCCTCGCGAGCTCTCTCAATCCCTGTGCAATCGCCTCTTCCTCCTCCTCTTGGTCTTGGTCTTCATCTCCGTCCTCCCCGTCGTCGTTCGTCGCCAGGGGGATGGGCGGGTCCTCCTCGGATTCGACTTCGTCTTCATCTTCGTCCTCCCCATCGTCGTTCGTCTCGATCGGGACTTCGGGTTCAACGACGGGGCCGGGGGAGTCGGGGGGTAGAGCGTATCTATATAGTTCGGCGTCCTGGGCGTGCCAGGAGTATTCCTGCGCGTGCTCGGGTTCGTCGTAGTCGGCTTCGTGTGCCTCTGCGTTGTAGTCGTCGTCATGTAGCTCTTGGTCGTCGTAGTCGGATTCGGGCACCTCTGCGTCGTATTCGGATTCGTGTGCCTCTTCGTCGTGCTCGGATTCGGGCACCTCTTCGTCGTAGTCGTCTTGTTCGTATTCGTCTTCTTCTTCATAGTCATCGTCTTCGTCGTGCATCTCGTCATCGGAGAGGGAGAGAGCGAACGAGCCCGTGTGTTCCCCATCGGATACATCGTCGTCTTCAATGTCCTCCGCTGGGACAGACGATGCGGCGCACAAAGGTGGAGGCGGGTGCGGGTGGGAGGGCAGGGATATGCTGGAGAGGAAGGAGGCGGTGAGGAAGGGCGGGTGGGCGGGGGTCTGGTGTTCTTCTTCTTCTTCGTCTTGTTGTTCTGCTTCTGTGTCGAGGAAGGAGGGGAAGGAGGGGAAGGAGGGGGCGAGGGCGGGGGTTTCGTGTTCTTCTTCTTCTTCTTCTTCTGTGTCTTCTTGTTCTGCTAATGTGTCGAGGAAGGAGGGGAAGGAGGGGGCGGGGGTTTCGTCTTCGTCTTCATCGACTTCTGCTTCTTGTTCTGCTTCTGAGATGTACGCGTCTTCCGCAGAGGCAGAGTCGATGGTGGTAGTAGCGGTGGCATTAATGCGCACCCCCACCGAACACCCGCTCACCCCCTCATCCGCATCTTCATATTGCGTTACATTCATCGTCGCGCTCTCTTCCTCCCCCTCCTCCTTCTCCTCCTCCTCTTCCTCCCCCACCACCTCCTCCCCCACCTCCTCCTCCTCTACAACTTGCGACACCGGTACAACGCCCACACGAGGCGCATCAATGACCTTAATGAACAAATGTCCCAGCACCCCGAACCCAAGGAGCGCACGTAGGGTGGTTCCCCAGTCTTGAGGGACTTCGGTGGGGGGAGGGGTGGAGGCTGGTGAGGCGGGGGGTGGTACGGGGGCTGGTACGGGGGCTGATACGGGTGGTGGTGGTGATGGTGGTGTGGCTGGTGCGACTGGTAGTAAAGAGGCAGGGGCTTCGGTTGGCGTCTCGGTGAGCGCGGGGACGAGGGGCTGGGGCTGTTGTGAGCAGATGGGTTCTACTACCGGTGCAGCAAGCTCATGCACCTCTTCCTCAGCACCTAACACGACCGTACCAGCCCCCAACGGAGCCGGCAGATCCAACGCCAACGCCTCCCCATTGAGGAGCTCCAAAAGTTCCCCAAGCACGCGTTGGAACTCCGCCACACGAGGGTGCGCGCGAAGATGCGGGAGTACGAACATGGAGAAAAGCTTCACGAGGGCTGCGGCCCACAGAAGTGCGGAGATGAGGTCGCGTGTGTCGGTGGGGGGAGGCGGGGGGAGGGGGGTCTTCGGTGGTGGAGCCTGTTGAGGGTGGGTCGGGGTCGTTGGGAGGGCCGCCGTCATCGTCCTCGTCCTCGTCGTCAGCCTCACCCTCGTCGTCCTGGGTGACGGGAGGGAGAGGAGGCGGCTTGGGACCATCGGAGGGGGGCTGACGCGGCGGAGTGCGGGGAGTGAACGTGGATCCGCGTTTACCGCGGAGGTAGACCGTGCCTGTAGTAGAGGGGGTGTCAGCCGCTTACGATATGGTGAGGAGAGAAGGGAAAAACGTACCGGTACCAAGGACGATCCCAGCTACGGCACATGCGAGGGCGATGTACACCGAAATGGCCGGTCCACTGGTACAGTCCACCACCGGCGATGTCCGGGTCGGGGGCGGAGAAAGTGTTTGGAAGCTTGTGTGGGAGGCAGGTGAGAGAGCGGGGGAGGTGGATCCGGAGAGGTACTGGAGGGTGACGGTGGTGACGCCGATGAGACCGGTGAGCGTCTCACGCTGCATCCTGAAGAACCCGCCCTTCGGCTTCAGAGCCCCAGTAGAAGGTCTATTTACCTTCTGAACTGCTGTTCGGAGCCTTCGGCTCGAAAGCCTGGGGGATCTACGCGTGTGTCTGGGAGTGAAAAAGTTGGTGAAATACATTTGGGCTGGTGGGGTGGTGGTGGTTTGGGTGAAGAGCTGACTCTGGGTGACAGAGCATTTTTATGGGAGGTTGAGGCTGACTGCATTCTGAGGCTGGCTGGTGGCTGGCACGGCGCGATGAATTCGAACTCGATCATCGCGGTGGCTGGCAGGAGAAACGCGAACCGTCACGTCATGTCACTCATCACGTTCAACTGATCACGACTCGTCTCTTGCCGTCGAGGTCTCGACGCGACGTATATCCTCTCAGCCTCGGCCCTTTGCCTCGCTCTTGTCCTGACCACCACACGTTAAGGTTTTGTGTCAGAAACATATCACCATCGCGACTTTCACTCACAAGGAAAACCATCATGTCTGTCGCCCAAGATACCCCACAGCGCAATGGAGGTCCGCAGGTAGAACCGTTGCGTCGGATATCCGAGAGATGTGATTAGATCCCACTTCCCACTTACCAGAGTGCTTCACGCTAATCGTGTACAGTCAATGCACATGACGCCGACATTATATTCGCATCTTCCGACCATGTCTTATTCTACATCTATCGGAAGCATCTCGAGTCAAACGCAGCCGCTTTCCCACCAGCAGAATTCGAGACACGCGGAGAGATCGTGCCACTCACCGAAGACGCCGCTACACTCGAGCTGCTCTTCCAATACACGTATCCTCAGCGGCACCCACACCTCGGGGACGTCACTTTCGACACTTTGGCACGACTCGCTGAGGCCGCCGAGAAATACGAGGTCTTCGCCGCGATGAACATCTGCTCCCTTCGTATGAAGTGAGTAGCACCTATCTCATGCGATTGCATATTGAAGGTAATGTTACCATCCCAGGCAATTACTTCCAAGACATGCTGCTGAGATATTCAGCTATGCGAACAAGCATGGCTACACGGACATAATGAGTGAAGCCGGACCCTTGGTCCTCGACACCCCCTTGGATGAAGTTGTCAAGGGTCTTTCTCTACAATATGTCGTTCCTTGGGTAAGGAAAACGCTAGCCTTACGATTCTATTACTGATATCTGACATCAGGTTTGCTATCGAGAGGCTTGGAGCCGAGCAGCATTCGGAGCAATAAACTCGTTGCCATACCCGTATTTTAGAGACACCAACGGGTCGATACCTTGCAGACATTGCTCCTTTTCCATCGACAGGAGAGCTCAGTTCGATGGGCTTTGGCAGAAACTAGGAGAGAAAAGGTCCATCGACGCTATGGAGCGGCTGTATATCGGCATGGCGAATTTATGTCCACATGTCACGACGGAGGTGCTCCGTGCAAGGCTAAGGGAGGCAGTCAGCCAAGTCCCAACTTTTGCGACATTCTTGTACAACATGTAGTTTTTCCGGGTACGTTGTCGACCTTTCGATTGTATGATACTTGATATCCTCGTGCCGAGTTGGGAACTCTCAACTTGAAAGCACTGTTTATTCAGACTCTGCTATTAATTTTCTCTTACCAGGATCAGGATAAAATCTAGGTAGGCACGAGATGTAGCAGTGCCTCCTCCGAGTAGCTGGAAAATCGTCGTTGTCCCTTTGGCTCGCTTTTATGTTGACCAACACACAGTCAGGCTCTGTGTCAGAAACATATCGTCATCGTGACTTGCACTGACAAGCTAAGTATCTGATCAGGCTCCAGTGGCCGAAGAACCCAGGACCCCCGCCGCGGCCCGCCAGTCACTTGCTCCACAGGCTGAGGTCCAGGAGTAGCCCCGATGGCGTACGGTCGACATCTCTACCCCATCAACGATAAGTTCTCCTTGATGTGCGGAAGAATCCTCGCCCAGACCAAGGTCTTGTCAAAGGGAACCATCGAGCCTCGTACCGTCCTTCTCTGCGCGTCCCGACTGTGCCGTAGATAGGATAGCTGAGCCCTGTCCAACTCAGGCTCTGGTTACAGGAATTCTTACTGATTTTCGCGCGCCATGATCGTAAGCCCGCTGCCCGATCCAAGCCCGATCAGTAAGTCACCCCATTCCCTGACGTACCCTTCCAACCCCAACGTCCGAAAGCACCAGAGAATTTTTATGGGAGGTTGAGGCTGACTGCATTTCGAGGTTGGCTGGTGGCTGGCACGGCGCGATGAATTCGAGCTCGATCATCGCGGCCCGGGTGGCTGGCAGGAGAAAACGCGAAACGTCACGTCACTGTCACTCATCACCTTCAACTGATCACGCGCATGACTCGTCTCTTGCCGTCGAGGTCTCGACGCGACGTATATCCTCTCCAGCCTCGGCTCCGTGCCTCGCTCTCAGTTTGACCACCAAACGGCTAGGTTGTACGTCGAGAATGTATCACCACCTTGCACACAGTGACACAGGCTATCTGATCAGGCTCCCAGGCACTGGGGGCAGAAGAACCCGCGATTTCAACTTCTATAGGCAGTCCTAAGGATCTCTGCAAGTCTTTCTTTCGGCCACATTCGACCCCTTAACCGAGCGACTGAAATCAATACCCCAGACGACCGGATAGCGTATCGGCAACACATCTGCCAGTACGGTAACGCAGACGAGCCCTGTTCGATTCAGGGTCCGGTCATGTTGTCCCGCATAGAAGGTCTTTTTCTGAACTGTTTCTGCTTCGCTTGCCAACTGCACCGTCGTGAATCTTCTACCTTCCGAGCCCAGCATTTAGATGCCTGCTGCCATCACAGTTGTAACAAGCTTTCGACGTCCAGCATGTACACTCCACCACGACTGGGTGGTGTAGAGGTAACACATCTGCATTGAATCTCGCACGACGTTGCTCTATCATCTTCTGCGGATGATCCCTATTCGATTCAGGGTCCAGTCATGTTGTGGCAACCAGTCTTTTTCCATTCTGCGTCCGAGTCTGCTTCGCTACCAGCGCACCATGACCAGCCTACCTTCCACACCCAACATCCAAAACCCTGCTGCCAAACTCGTGAAAAGCTTCCAACGTTAAGCGTGTAGATGTACACCCCGACATGACTGGGTGGTGTAGAGGTAACACATCCGCATTGAATTAGCTGGATAAGGGGTGGATTATCTTCTGCGGATGAGCCCTGTTCGATTCGGGGTCCGGTCGGGTGGCGGCAACAAGGAAAGTTTTTTTCACCCCCCTCAGATTCGCTTGCTCGCGCATAGCCATATTTTATTTGCGCTCCTCTTTGTGCTACGATCTGCGCCAATTAGTCTCTCACCCCATCTCCCGACGTACCCCCCCACCTAACGTCCAGAGGCATGGAAGTTACACCTTCTGTCTCCGATGCGCATACCCTCCAACACGACTGGATAGTGCATCGGCACACACACTTCTGCAGTTCGGAACTATGCCTGTACCGTTTCCGCAGAAGAGCCCCATTCAAACCGGGGTCCAGTCATCGTGTATTCGCTGCCATTTTTTCGTACATCGGACACCAAGCCGCGACTCGAATGAACGTACAGAACACTGCGTCGCTCAAGTTACTTTTTCGTCTCGGGTGTGCTCGGCTTCCCAGCGCCATCGATGGAGCATGTATGGCCTGGTACGAAGGGACGGGGTGAAGGAATAGGACGACAGGCGGGTCTCAAATAACCCAAATCACCCCCGGGCCATCAGCCACCCATCCTATCCGCAGGACAAGCCCACCTCACGACGACCAGATGGTGAATCTCGCCATCCCCGCCGCACTCGCCGCACTCCTAGCAGCCAGCGCCATCAAAGCCGCGCCCCATCCGAGTCGTCCCTCCCGCTTCAGGCTCGCCAACGTCCAAACAGAATGCACCGCGTGCTACCCCGGCCCAGAGCAATGTCTTCCTGGGTGGTACCCCGACCCGCCTCCAAACGACATGCCCTGGTGCTGGGCTTGCTGCATAGACGACTGGTGATCCATAGACGACTGGTGATCATGTCGGTGTGGAGAAGTACTAAAGCGATAGGTCGTCCCTGCTTGGCTGGATTCTCGAATCGTACATATCGGAATCTGATCATCTTGCGGTAGAGCACCTGGTACTCCCTGTCTTGACTTCAGATTCATGATACTTGTAAGGAACAGTGTTTTATTCGGTTGTCGACGATGCCATGTAGATAAATAAGAATAATATAAAGCGAATCCAAGACCCAGACGCATCAACCATTCGTGTAATACCAATAAGACCGAAGCAAGAATATAGATAGGAATAATATAAACCGAACCCAAGACCCAGACGCATCAACCATTCAAATGATATACCAATCCATAACCCAAACCCAAAACCGAAGCAAGAATAACACGCCCTCCCCCCCCCCCCCCCCCCCTAGAACGCATCAAAATCAAAATCCATCTCCAACCCCCCCCTCGCCTCCTCCTTCACCCGATAATGCCACTCCACCTCCTGGTTCACCTGCTTATCGTTCATATCCGGGTTCGCGAGCTGCACCTTGAGCTTGCGCTTCGCCATGCGCTGTCGGAGGGTTTTGCGTGGGGGCGTGGCGGTGGGTGTGGGTGTGGTGATGTCGTCTGGGGCCAGCAGTGGAAGGGCGGCGGAGGAAGTAGGAGCGGGCTCGGACTCGAGGGGATCGGAAACGGGAGGCTATAAACGAAAGCACGTTGAGCACCCGATCGAACCAAAATTAATGAGGTTCAACAAACCTCGTGCGAAGCCTCCCCAACCAAATCCGCCTCGAGCTCAGCACACTCCGCCTCCTCGTGCTCATATTCTTCTTCTTCGACGGCGTCTGGGGCCAGGAGTAGAAGGGGGGTGGAGGAAGTGGGAGCGGACTCGATGGGATCAGAAACAGAAGGCTATAGATGAGATGAAGTTAAGTACAGGATCGAACTGAAGGTAAAAAAGAACTTGACGTACCTCGGGCGAAGCCTCCCTAACCGAATCCACCTCGAGCTCAGCACACTCCACCTCTCCCTCCTCCTCCTCTGCCTCCACCTCTTCTTCTCCCTCCTCCTCCTCATCGTCTAGGGCCAGCCCGACGTCGGACAGTGGAAGTTGGGTGGAAGAAGCGGGCTCGATGGGATCGGAAACAGAAGGCTATAGATGAGATCACGGTGAGTAAAGAATCGAACCATGTCTAAAAGAACATACCCCGGGCGAAGCCTCCCTAACCCAATCCTCCTCCACCTCCTCCTCCTCCTCCTCCTCCTCTCCCTCCTCCTCCTCTGCCTCCTCTTCTTCAACCACGATCCCACGCACCCAATCCCCAACTCCCACCACACTCTCACTCCCAAGGGCCTTGGCTTCCTCCTCCGACTCGCGTTTCAGTCGGCTGAGCGGGCCCACATATACGCTTCTCTTCCTCCCCACCTCCGCCAAAACAGCCTTGCGCTCCACTTCCTCGCGCACCAACCGCGCGAGCTCTCTCATCCCCTGCGCAATCGCCTCCTCCTCTTCCTCCTCTTCGTCTGCGTCGTCCGTTTCGATCGGGACTTCGGGTTCAACGACGGGGCCGGGGGAGTCGGGGGGTAGAGCGTATCTATATAGTTCGGCGTCCTGGGCGTGCTCGGGTTCGTCGTAGTCGTTGTCGTGTGCCTCTGCGTCGTAGTCGGGTTCGTGTAGCTCTTGGTCGTCGTAGTCGGATTCCGGCACCTCTGCGTCGTAGTCGGATTCATGCGCCTCTCCATCGTCGTAGTCGGATTCGGGCACGGAGGGGTCGGGGAGTAGAGAGTACCTATATAGTTCGGCGTCCTGAGCGTGCCAGGAGTATTCCTGGGCATGCTCGGGTTCGTCGTAGTCGGCTTCGTGTACCTCTCCGTCGTAGTCGTCGTAATCGGATTCGTGTGCCTCTCCGCCGTGCTCGGATTCGTACATCTCTCCATCGTCTTCGTTGTCCTCTCCGTCGTAGTTACCATCGTCTTCGTCGTAGTCATCCTCGTCCTCATGCTCATCGTGTTGGTCGGAAAGGGAGAACAGCCCCTCGTGCTCCCCATCGGATGCATCGTCGTCTTCAGTGTACCCCGCCGGGACAGGCGATGCGGCGCACACTGGTGGAGGCGGGTGGGAGCGCAGGGAGATACTGGAGAGGAAGGAGGCGGTGAGGAAGGGCGGGTGGGCGAGGGTTTCGTGTTCTTCTTCTTCTGCGTCTTCTTGTTCTGCTAATGTGTCGAGGAAGGAGGGGGCGAGGGCGAGGGCGGGGGTTTCGTCTTCTTGTTCTTGTTCTTGTTCTGCTTCTGAGATGTACGCGTCTTCCGCAGAGGCAGAGGCAGTGGTGGTAGTAGCGGTGGCATTGACGCGCCCCCCAACCGACCCCCCGCTCACCCCCTCATCCGCATCTTCATACTGCGTTACATTCATCGTCGCGCTCTCTTCCTCCCCCTCCTCCTTCTCCTCCTCCTCTTCCTCTCCCTGCTCCTCTTCCTCCTGCTCCTCCTCCCCCTCCTCCCTCTCATCCTTCTCAAGTTGCGGTTCTGGTACACCACGCCCCCGAGGCGCATCAATGACCTTTATAAACAGATGTCCGAGCACCCCGAACCCAAGGAGCGCACGCAGGGTGGTTCCCCAGTCTTGAGGGACTTCGGTGGGGGGTGGGACGGAGGGTGGTGCGGGGGCTGGGGCTGATACGGGGGCTGGTGCTGGTGCGGCTGGGATCGAGGAGGCGGGGGCTTCCGTTGGAACATCGGTGAGCGCGGGGACGAGGGGCTGGGGCTGTTGTGAGCAGATGGGTTCTGCTACCGGCGACGCAACCTCATGCACCTCTTCCTCAGCACCTAACACAACCATATCAGCCCCCTCCTGAGTCGGCAAATCCAGCGCCAATGCCTCCCCATTGAGGAGTTCCAGGAGTTCCCCAAGCACGCGTTGGAACTCCGCCACGCGGGGGTGAGCACGGAGATGCGGGAGTACGAACATGGAAAAGAGCTTAACGAGGGCTGCGGCCCACAGGAGTGCGGAGATGAGGTCGCGTGTGTCGGTGGGGGGAGGCGGGGGAGGCGGGTCTTCGGTGGTGGAGCCTGTTGAGGGTGGGTCGGGGTCGTTGGGTGGGCCGCCGTCATCCTCCTCGTCAGCCTCCTCGTCAGCCGCATCCTCGTCCTCTTTGACGGGAGGGAGAGGCGGCGGCTTGGACGGATCGGAGGGGGGCCGGGGAGGAGGCGGAGTGCGGGGGGTGAACGTGGACCCGCGTTTACCGCGGAGGTAGACTGTGCCTGTAGTGTGAGGTGTGTCAGCCACCTACTAATACGAGACGATGAGGAGAAGGGGATGACGTACCGGTACCGAGGACGATTCCTCCTACGGCACATGCGAGGGCGATGTACACCGAGATGGCCGGTCCACTGGTACAGTCCACCACCGGCGATGTCCGGGTCGGAGGCGGAGAAAGTGTTTGGAAGCTTGTGTGATTGGCGGGGGAGAGAGCGGGGGAGGTGGATCCGGAGAGATACTGGAGGCTGACGGTGGTGATGCCGATGAGACCGGTGAGCGTCTCACGCTGCATCCTGAAGAACCCGCCCTTCGGCTTCCGAGGTTCAGCAGTAGACGTCCTTACGTTCTGAACTGCTGTTCGGAGCCTTCGGCTCGAAAGCCTAGGGGATCTACGCGCGTGTCTGCGAGTGAAAAAGTTGGTGAGATACATTTGGGCTGGTGGGGTGGTGGTGGTTTGGGTGAAGAGCTGTTTGTGGGTGAGGGAGCATTTTTATGGGAGGTTGAGGCTGACTGCATATTGAGGCTGGCTGGTGGCTGGCACGGCGCGATGAATTCGAACTCGATCATCGCGGGTGGCTGGCAGGAGAAACGCGAACCGTCACGTCATGTCACTCATCACGTTCAACTGATCACGACTCGTCTCTTGCCGTCGAGGTCTCGACGCGACGTATATCCTCTCAGCCTCGGCCCTTTGCCTCGCTCTCAGACTGACCACGAAACGGCTAGATTTTGCGTCGAGAATATATCAGCACCTTGCACACAGTGACACCAGCTATCTGATCAGGCTCCCGGGGCACCGGGGGCAGAAGAACCCGTTACCCGGAAGTTCCAATTTCTCTACGGGCATCCTGAGGATGTCTCTACACTCTGAGTGTTTCCTTTGGTCACATTCGACCCGTTGTACCCAGCGACTGAAGCTAATACCCCAGACGACCGGATAGCGTATCGGTAACACATCTGCCGGTACAGAGGGGCCTGACGTGTTGCAGACGAGCCCTGTTCGACTCTGGGTCTGGTCATGCAGAAATGACATGAAAAGCTTTTTCCAGTATGTTTCTCCTCCGCTCACGAACGGCATCGTGGATAGCTTGCGACTTATACTTCTATGGCCCCGCGTAAGAGTCGGTGCCACGGTATGGTTCCCAGCGACGCTTTGTCCCGGCCCAAATCAGTCACTCTACAGTAAGTTCTATCTTGGTCCCACACCCCGCGCGATACCGCGCCTCCTGTCCAAAAGGTGCAAAGCGACGATGTGTAGTGTAGTAAGTCACCCCATTGGTCATCGTATCCGTACACCGCGCTCAACTCATCATAACCAGATGGTACATCGACTACATATCTCCATCGCATCAACGATCCCTTCGTGTTGTGTTGCGCAGAAAAACGCCCGCCCGAACCACGATCTTGCCAAATCAAGCCATCAAGCCTCGTACTCCTTCCCCCCTCCTCATGATAACCCCCGCGTACGTCACCGCGTTCCCCGACCTACCTTCAAGAATCAAGATTCGAGCCCAACATTTAAGACTCAGGAGCCTGCTGCCACCCCAGAGTCGTGACAAGCTTGAGTCGACGTTCAGGGTGTGCGTGTACACCCCATCACGACTGGATGGTGTATAGGTAACACATCTGCATTGAATCCGCTGTAGGCTATCTCCTCCTGCGGACGAGCCCTGTTCGATTCGGGGTCCAGTCATGTATGTGGCCGTAAAAGTTTTTTTTCCCACCTTTTTCTTTCCCGAGTGCGTCGTGGATGGCGAGTCACGACGCGTACGGTTATTTCATTGGCCCTGCACGTTGCGCTACCATTTTGCAAACATGGTATTTTTTTAGAGCTTTGTTCCGCCATGAAACCTAACCCACTCTACACGCCCCACTCCCGACTCGACATTCCGTGCCAGCTCTCCTACGCGACATCGCACCTCGGGCTGTAAACCGATCATAGCGTGTAGTAAGTCGCACCGTCGAGTCAGTCATCCTATCCGCACACCAGGCCCAACTCACTATGACCAGATGGTGCATCGGCAACGCTTCCACATATCCCACGATTATGCAGCGGAGCCCTGTTCGAATCAGGCTCTGGTTATAGAACTTCTTCGAGTGTTTTTGTTTTTCCGCGCCATGATCATAAGCTCAATCAGTACGTCACCCCATTTCCCGACGTACCCTTCGAAGTCTTTTACATAACCTGACGTCCAGAGGGCATTGATAGACCTGCTCTGTCTCCAATGCGTATACTCTCCAATACGACTGGGTAGTGTACCAGAACATACTCCTGCATCGAATCATCCCCGCACCGGTTCCGCAGATGAGCCCTGTTCGAACCAGGGTCCAGTCATTCCGAAGCCGTCGTTTTAGTAACCGGGACACCAAGCCATGGCTCAGGATACATCATGCAAGCGTCATATTGACTAACCCCGATTCAGGTCTTTTCAAAAGTCAATCTGCAGGTCCCCCAATAACCCGAGGTCCAGCGCCATGTCATGAACGCGGCGGAGTGGGCGTTGTCATATAACCGGACAGTGTATCGACGATACGTCCTCATCCAACTTGGTGCGTCACTGTTTCGCAGGGGAGGCCTGTTCGAATCAGGGTCTGGATATGATAAGGTCAAATAATTTTTACTCCTTTAAGCGTCCGTCATGCACCGGAGGTCGAGGTTTAAATCCCTGATCTTAATTTCTCAGGTCACCCCAGAACCCAAAGTGTCGACGCAAGTATCGTTCCAAGGACCATACGATTCGACTCATTCTACCTGGCCACCGAAAGTAGCACCTCACTGTACGACCGGATGGCGGATCGGCCACGCAACCACCATACAGTGCTCACCCGAGTGTAGCGTGCAGAAGCGCCCTGTTCGAACCAGGGTCCGGTCATAGCTCCGCTACTTCTCATATTTTGCTTTCCTCGCATCGTTTTTGTGGCTGCATATGAATAGCTTGCGAAGGAAGTTGGAGGAAAGGACTTTTGTCCGCCCCCATTCCCGCGTTCTGTGGTGGTGGTACGTTCCTAGTACTTTTTGCAAGGCTTTGTTGCGGTTATGATCATGACGTGCTCTATGGGCTTCGTTTCGGGATTTTCAGGTTTGCTCGAGTACGCGATAATCGTACCTCACGGTTCTGCAGACTGATAGCATGCAGTGAGTGTCCGTCCACACCCGTCATCATACCCATGCACCTCTCAAGTTGGACCTTCCGTTAGTTCTTTCTCCCCGTGTCATGATTAGTACGTCACGGTATTTCCCAATTTATCGTTTACCCCCTACTGGCATTCAGAAACCTGCTCGAGCCGTCATGAATGTTCAGCGTGTACATCATAATACGGCTGGATGGTGTATAGGTAACACCTCTGCGTTGAATTTTCGATCCCTTGAACCCGGAGTTGTATCTTCCGCAGATGAGCCCTGTTCGAATCGGGGTCCAGCCATCATGAGTACGAAATCTGCAAAGTGTTTTGCCCCCATCATGATAACCTCTATTAGTAGTCCGTCGCCCCATTTCCCAGTGTACCTTCTAATAACAGCATTCAGAAGCATTGCTGGATCTGTCATGACTATGCAGTGCGTATGCTCTCCGATACGGCTGGGTGGTGTATCGGCACGCACCTCTGCAGTGAATCACCCCTGTAGCGGCTCCGCGGTGAGCCCTGTTCGAATCGGGATCCAGCCATGATGAGTTCTTGTACAGTTTTTCTCGTACATCGGGCCTCAAGCCAACATAGACGTGTAACGCACTCAATCGCCCAATATACCTTTGATGTGTTGGGTTTCGTGTAAGGGCTTATGTCGAGACTGGTATCGACATCCCTTAATGACTTCACTCCATTTTGAATACTTCTCTCTAAATGTGATCCAGAACGCTCCCAATTCCAGTCATGAAAGTCGCGATACAGCTCGCATTGTCCAAAAACTACGATAAAACTCCTGCGCCTCCTATGATGAAAACTACAACTTGAATCATGCTGGCGTCCCAAACCATCAGACATGTACCCCAGCAGCAAATGCACCGCACACTGCTTACTTCGATATACCCCTCAGCAGCGAACAACTGCAATAACATATTCATCAGCTCCATCTCAGTCAAACTCGGCAACCGGACTTACGAAGGACATTCCCCGAGGATTCACCCCTCTTGCAGCATTCAACTTTGGGATTGCAGGTTGGCGCGAGGGGGGACGCGTAGACCTGATGCGCGAGAGCAAACATGAGGACGGCGCTGATTGATTTGAAGAATTGCATGATGCGCAGTGTAGATGAGGATGCAAGAGTGAAGGAGGCTCGACTTGATGAGACTGTTGGGTAGCCGACCATCCTCACTTTATAGGCTGGAGTTCTGGAAGGCATCTCGGCGCGCGCGATGTCAGTTGGGACGTGGACGTTGGCGGATTGCGGGCATACCACCTGTAGGGGTTCAGGGGATCCCCGTATGTGCCCTAACGTTCTGCGATGAGCTCGGGGATGTTCATGGGTTGACATCGCGTGTAGTGAGCCTTCTGGCAAGAGATGAGTGTACGCCGCGGTCATGACACTGCGGGATATTATTAGATTGCGGTGACCTGGCACCCGATGAGGCAGACAAGAGGCCTGTACAAGCATTTCTAAGCGATGGAAATCCTGGAAGGCTGGAGATACGAAGGAAAGGTAACTCAACATGTTGTAGCTGCGTGAACTCGTGCGCTTACCGAGACCTGAGGCGACATGATAGCCTTTACAACGCTTTACATTTGGGTATTGAGTGCCCATCCGAGAGTATGTGATGACGTGCCGTTGTTCGTGCCGTATGCTGCCGAGCATAGCGGCTGCCAACTCAACGCGGCAGAGGACTGGCAGAGGTAGTAACATTCTGTTTGATAAGATCGCTGAGTGACCGTCAGGATGGAATAAGACACGCGGGGAGTTTTGATCTAGATATCGGGTCTGAGGTTGCTCAGAAGTGGACAGAGGTGTGGGACTGAGATATACATGGTGCCGCGGAGGTGTGTGTGTCGCGATCGTAGCTAGTGCTCTAGTAGACATAGAATGATTCGCAATTTGCCATGGGCAGCTCGGGAATGGAGATCTAGGCGACTATGACTCTAGAAAAGGAGTCTTTTGTTAAGAATGCGTGGGCTGTTTCCCTACCATGCTGAGTTGCTCCTGACTGTTTGACATTAAGACATCGATGATCGATCCAAAGCACCATCCTGATCGGATGAGGAGTATGTGTGCAAGTCCAACGCAGTCATAGGGCCTGAGTCAAACATACATAAGTAAGGCGCGTTTTGGGGGAGGGAAAAAGAACTCGCCAGTGCGTAAGATTGACGGTAACACCGTCAACGCTGTCAGCGTTGCCGTCAAGGTTGTTCAAAGGTTGAAGTTGAAGGGAATTGTCGGGCCGCGTGCCGCCCACGTGGCAGCAACCGAATCCCGACGACGTAATCTCAATTTGGTGCTAAAAGGCTCATTACGTCTCCCACCTACAATTCCATAGCCCTGCGCTTCCTTACCCATCTCGCATCCAGCCTCCTGGCCGTATGGACTGCACAAACTGCGAGCTCAAGCAACGCCAATTTTTCTGCGAGAATTGCCTACGAACCCAGTCAGTCGAGAACCCACTCGAATGATTGTGACATGTTCTGAAAGACGATATGCAGTTTACGCGATTTTAGACACCAAACACAACATTTTGCCTCCGACCGTCAGGAACAGGTTTCCAAGGCATCCAAGGCTCTTGAAACCATACAGCCGTCGCGAGTGCGTCGGGCTACGCTTGCGGATTACCAGACTCGGGTCGATGAGGTCTTGAGTGGCCTTACGAGGCTGAGGAAGGAGAACGATAAGAGTGGGTGTAGCCTTATTCCTTGTTATCAGGATTGTAACGGATGATTCCAAAATAGATCGAGATCGGCTTCGGGCCTTGAGAGAGGGGCTTGCAGCGCGTCGGCGCACCCTATCCGCAGCAAATCTCCTACCTCACCCGGCGCCAACAAATTACGCAGCGCAGCGCGAGACGCAAGAGCTCAACGCCCTATCTATAACTCTTGCACGAGCGCGCTCAGGCCTGGTGCAGGAGCTCGTCGAGGTGTTCAACGTGGTCGAGGTCGGCGGACGGCCACCCATCGGCGGTAAAGCAGGAACAAAGGGGGAATGGACAATAGGGGACTTGATTCTCCCTGTCCCAGGAGATATTCGAAGTACGTGCTTTTACACTCCTTCACATTCCGACTCATGTGTCTCCTCCTGTTTAGGATACCCACCAGACCATATAAACGCCGTGATAACCCACACGATCCACTTCCTCTCGCTCCTAACCTTTTATCTCGGGATCAAACTGCCTTTCGAGATATCCTGGTCAGGCGGCAAACTTGGCGTCGGGCAGCCGTCCATCGGCGCCGGTAAAGGCTCTGAGCTCGGTGGATGGGCAAAGTACGTCCTATCCTCTCTTCTACACATTTCCCCATCTAACCACAGACTCTACAGGTGGCATGCGAAGCACCCATTACACCTTTCATCCGCAGCCCCCTCGCCCAGCTCCCCACCCCCCACATCTCCTTCCCGCAAATCTGACTCCGCCCCCAGGCAGCGTACCGTCTCCATCTCCGAATCCTACATCGAACCAGATCCAGCACCCCAAAGCTCATTCACAACGGCGCTCGCGATGCTTCTATACAACGTCTGTTACCTCGCTCACACGCAGAACGTCGACGTCCCCCTTGCGCAGGCCGGAGACGTGCTGAGCAACCTCTGGAGCGTATGCTGTAGCGCTGATCTCGGCAGGTAACTCTCCCTCTCTCCCTCTCCTCACCCCATGACTCATTTGGCTCATGCTTATACTTACGCAATAGGAAATCACACGAAACGAACCCGACGCTCCCACCACCAACGCCGCCCGGGTTCCCACTCGACTTCGCGCAGCTCCTACAAGCGACGACTGCACATCCTGCGTCGCGGATGCGCCCGCGGTCCGCGAAGACCCAGATGCAGACGAGACGGGGCAGGAAGGAGGAGGTGAGGGTTGTGGAGGAGGAGGATGGGTGGGATCTTGTGGAGGGAGATCAGGATGGGGATGGTTTCCCTTGAGGCATGTGGGGTCGGGCCTGAGGCAGGTTGGGATGTTGTGTGTGATGGGATTCGGGATGAGGGATACATGGTATAGGGACAAGGGAAGGTACGTACACTCAGTCTTTGGCTCCCCTTAATCCAGAGGTACTCATCCTAGGGCCCTTGCAGATCGCAGTGCTACCCTGGTCCACAGAAACATACGGCCCCTTCGTGTCGTTCGCGGACCAGAGATGAACAGATGTACAAGGACGAATACAATGGCTAAGATTGGGGCGACGAGAAGGACTTGACCAGTTGGTTAATATCCCGTCTCCTCTGCCGTTGGCGTTGCTCTCTTCATCAGTCGAAGCGTCGGCATTATTCCTCCTCTTCGCTTTCGGCTTCGCTGCCACCCGCTCCTTCGGACCACTCGCCACCATTTACTGCAACGTCAGGCACGTCCTTGGTGGGAGTTTCCTGGACTTTTCGTGTGCTTGGCAAGGCGACTCGGAGCTTATGATCCTGTTGGCGTGGTTCGTGATATGCATGGGAGAGCGGGTGGACACAATGTCCACTCGACCGGACGTGTGCTCAGGGAACAAGGAGATTGGCAGCGGCGGAGGACACACGGTTGACAGACCATCCTCCCGCCCTCCTATGTCCCTTTCCTAGTCGCCTCTCACGCTGACGATGTCGGTGAGAGTCAGGGGTAGAGTTATGTCAGTTCAGAGGATACCAATCTGTCCCGAATCTGTGGCACCGAGTTTGAACTTTGGGGGTGGGCGAGAGATACCTTGTTTCCGCCAATCTTCCGTGTCCTCGGCGAGTAGGTCATATTTCGCCTCTTAAACCAAGGAGGTCTTGAAGGAACCTGAAATGCAAGCTAGATACCAGATAGACTTCTGATTACCGTTAAGCATCGATATCGATGATCATCAGAAGTCATATACACGCGACTTCAATCTTCCCTTGGCGCGCATAGGGCGTTCTTCTTTGTTCGCGTCCGACGGTCGTTGCGGCAAGTAGCCGAGATCAATATTTTACGACGCTCGAGATCATCAAAGCCTTTTTACTTTTGCGGAACATCAACGTTTCAACATTTCATCAATTCGCTGAACGTTTCCCCGATTTTCGACACGCTATCGCGAACCTTTAAGCTTGGTCCATGGGTTTCCACACCTGGCGACTTGCGGATCAATCGTTCACCAGGATCCTTATGGGACACCATGCACCTCGCCAAGGACGGTTAGACTGACTACTATCTGCCTCACCCGAGCGACCTTCGTTGGAACATCCTTCGTTATACTTAAGGTACACATCCGTCTCCCAACAGATACTTTCACCAGCGCGCCATGGCTACGGAAATTCAACAGCTCTCCGATCTCATCTCCTCCTCAGTATCAGCTCT